AGAGGTCTGGACTTCTTCCGAGGGGCTGGCTTTTTCATCCCGAGTCGGTTCATGACGGTCCCACGGCCCGGCAACGGCCCTCGGAGCCCAAATGAGCCTGGCGAAGGACCCAACAAAATGCAGCTGTGAAAACCGCAGTTGTAGGCATCGTCTTCGGTGGAGCCCCCTTATCATGGGGCCACGAAGCGCTGTACCGGGCGGGGGAGACGCATGCGGACTGCGCCACCAGGACCCTCGGTGGAGCCCCCGAGTCAGTTCATGACGGTCCCAGGGCCCGGCAACAGCCCTCGGAGCCAAAAAAGAAACGAAAAACCTTCCGTGGCAAATTCTTTTCGACGCGAAGTGGCCTTTGAAGACCGAGCCCCTGGGCGGCGACGGTGGTGGAAAAATGGTAAGGGGCCCAGGGGCACGCAGAAGAGTAGACACAAATCCCGGGATTCCCAAGAACAAGAGGGCTACATCAGAGCGAGGGGGCCGAACGGTCATTCACTGTCCCTGGGTGCGTGGCTGAAGTCGAGTTCCGCGGTGCCGATTGCTGTGGCGTTGGGTTCTCACGTCTGAAGAATATCTACTGTCGATCCCCCCTGCTCGGTGCACCTCTTGTGTTTTTCAATTGCAGCGTTCCTCCTGGGAAAGCATGGAAAGCATTCGTCTTGTTTTTTCATCCGGGAAAGCATTCGTCCTCCAATTGGGTTATTGGCCCCCGGTTAACAAGAACAACCCTCCCGCCAGATCTGCCCTCACAATTAATTCCAAAATCGCGCTCTCGCGCGGGTCGCCGTCATAATGTATGCAGGAGTCGCGCTCCCGCGTGGTACTTCCTCACATAGTGTATGCAGGAATCGCGCTCCCGCTCTGGATTTCCTCACGACTTACTTAAGAAAAACAGACGTATCGCTCGAAATTGCCTTGCGATTCATGTTCGATCGAGGCTTCAGCGACCCGCCTGCTCGACCAGGCCGACCCGCCCGTCTGGTTCTGCCGCTTGTACTCCTGCTCCTAGACGCCCTGCAAATCTTTCTCGTGCTCCATCCTTCTCCCTCCCTTGTCTTTGCCCTCCTCCCGTCCTTCCCCTGTTTTGGGGGATGCGCCAACTAGACGTGGCAGGTAAAAAAATGTACCGCCAATGGAGGTATAACCGAAGACGAAACGGGCGGGTATCGAGAGTTTGGGAAGTACGTGATGAATGGCATGCGAGCAGATAAGAACGAGCAGTCTTAAAATACGTGGTGTTGTTGTTTGTGCTGTTGTTGATGTTGGTGGTGGTGGTGTTGCTGCTGTTGTTATGCTGTTGAACTCTCACGACTAAAAAATATATAGTGTTGTTCCCACCCCCTCCGGGGCACATTGTAGTTTTTGAACTGACGTGCCCTTCCCGGGGCTTGAACCCTGCTTTTTGGGACTGGCAAGTCTTGGGTCTCAGAATTGGGCCCCTGGCGCCCGAGTTACAACAACAATGGCTCCCGCCTGATACTTCCTCACGAGTTATTCCCAAATCGCGCTCTCGCGCGGGACGTCCCCACAATGTATGCAGAAATCGCGTTCTCGCGCAGGACTTCCTCGCAAGTTATTCAGACGCCGCACCCTCGACACTCAGGAGTCACGCTCTCGCTTTGGCCCATCTCACGATTTACTTAGGAATCGCGCTATCGCTCGAAACTCGCGAATCATGCAGGACGCACGTTTCAGCAACCCGCCTGCTCGACCTGGCCGCCTGGGCCCGCCTTCCCGACCCGCCTGTAATTAGGGTCTACCCGCCCAGTCTGCCCGTCTGGTTCTGCCACATGTTTTCTGCTCCTAGCCCCCCTCCTGCTACTCTCTCTCTCTCTCTCTTTCTCTCTCTCTCTCTCGTGCTCCATCGTCCTCCTTCTCCCTTGTCCCTTTCTTCCATCCGTCCTCTCTTCCCCTGCCGTAGGGGCTGCATGCAATACACGTTGCAAGAAAGATAAACCCCCAAGGGGGTACGATCGAAGACGAAAAGGGCGGGTATCGAGGGGTTGGGACATACGGTTTGGATTGCACACACGCAAATAAGAGAGAACAGTCTTAAAAGGATTGTTGAAGTTGTTGTGTTGCTGGTGGTTTTGTGTTTGCTCCTGTTGTTGTTGGTGGTGTCGGCGTTGTTGTTGTTATTGTTGGTGTTGTTGATGTTTATGTTGGTGTTGGTGTTGTTGCTGCTGGTGGTGGTGATAGTGTGGTTGTTGTGTTTGCTGCTGTTGTTGTTGTTGACATTGTTGGTGGTGGTGTTGTTATTGCTGATGTTGCTGTTGTTGTTGTCGTTGGTGTTGCTGCTGTTGCTGGTTTTGTTGTTGGTGGTGGTGGTGTTATCGTCGTTGTTGTTGTTGATGCTGTTGTTGCTGTTGTTGGTGTTGTTGGTGTCGGCGTTGTTGTTGGTGCTGGTGTTGCTGTTATTGTTGTTGCTGCTGTTGTTGATATTGCTGTTGTTGCTGTTGTTGCTGCTGTTGCTGCTGTTTTTGATGGTGCTGGTGTTGTGTTTGTTGCTGGTGTTTTTGTGTGTTGTTTGTTTGTTGCTGTGTTGTTTGTTGTTTGGTGTGTGTGCTGTTTGTTGTCAATTGTCTGTTGTCTGTTGTTTGTTGCTTGTTGTTTGCTGTTTGTTGTCGTCCCATTCGCGATCCAGCCCGCGACCCACCCGTGACACGCTCGCGACCCACCCGCTACCCACCTGCGACCCACCCGCGACCCACCCACCCGCGACACACCCGCGACCTAAACCCGCGACCTAAACCCGCGACCCACCCGCGACCCACCCGCCCGCGACACACCCGCGACCTAAACCCGCGGCCCACCCGCGACCCACCCGCGACCTACCCCGCGACCCACCCGCGACCCACCCGCGACCCACACGCGGCCCACCCCGCGCCTGGGGTGCTAAAGAAGTTTCTGGAGTTTCGCCTTCCCCCCAGCCCCCCATAGTTTTCAATATATTTTCTTGGGAATCTGCGTGTATTTGTGTCTGTGCCCGCTTCCCTCCTGAGATTGCCCCGCCTGAGGGGTGCCCTGCGTGCGGCGCGGCCACAGCGCGCGTTCAGAGCAGGCACTCGCCGTCGTCGTCGCCGGCGCCCGCGGCAGCGGGCGCTCCAGGCGCGGCGGGGCGCGGACGGTGCTCCACCACCTTCTGAGCCAACCCATAGGAGCCGCCCACACCATCTTGTCGGCTCTTGCGAATCGGCGCTAATCGACGCTGAATCGACGCTCATCGCGACGCTCGTCGGCGCTGAATCGGCGCAATCTCATTGACTCGCAGCCGCTGGTCGACGCTAGTGCAGCCTGAAGACGGAATTGCGAAGATATGCAAGGCTCCCATGGCTTGCTACCAAACACACCCTGCGAGGCGGGGATTTATCCATATCCACCGCCTGGGAACCGACGTCCTGGTGCCCCAGCGAGCGGTGGATATGGATATATTTTGGCCCCAGGGGGCCCCAATATGTCCATATCCACCGCCTGCCGAGGTCCCCGAACATTGATCCTCCAGGCGGTGGTCATGCATGAATTCCTACCCCGGACACCCGCACGAGGTCGTCGCCGCCCTTGGCCTTGCCGCCCGAGAGCCGCGACATGCCCCTCACGAGGCTGCTCGCGTGCAGGCCGCCGGCCGTGGCGCCGACTAGCCCGCCCACGACGGCTCCGACGATGGGCACCGGCAGGGCCGCCTGGCCCACGGCCGCGCCGCAGAGGCCGCCCATGGCGCGCCCCGAGGACGTGATGGCGCTCTCCGCGACCTTCTCCTCGTACTGCGAGCCGCTGATATCGCGCCGCTTGTACTTGTCCGCGTGCTCCCGGACCTCCTTGTAGAGGGCATACCCCTCGCAGCCCATCGCCGCGGCCGCACCAGCCAGCCGCGTCGCGGGGCCGCGAAGGCCAGCGTGAACCGCGGTTTGCACGGCGGTGTCCGTCCATGCCTCCACGTCCGCCCCGACCGCTCTGTCCTAGAGGCAGAAGGAAGCCACCAAAAAAGGCCTAAGCATCAACTGCTAGAGGCCCGCGCGGATTTCTCGAATCGGCGCTGGACTCCCCTCCATGGCCCGCGGAACGCGCCAGAAGCGGCGCTGGAGGCGCCGCCAGACGGGTCCAGCGCCAATCCAAAAAAACCGCGCGGACCTCCGACAGTTTGTGTATGCAATCTTTTCTGCTTCGACCTCCCCCGCCGCCAAGGTGGCATCCGCGCCAGGCGCGGGCAGCGCGGCGGCGGCCAGGCGGGCATGGGAACCCTCCGCCTCCACGCGCGGCGCGGAGGCCGCGGCGCGCACGCCCCCGTGCCGCTCTGGCGGTGCCGGCGAGGGCGCAGAAGTCCTGGGCGTGCTCGGGGCTGGGCCGGCTGCCGGCGGTGGCGGCGGGGCAGCCCCCGCGTCGGCGGCGGCCCCAGCGAGGGAGGCCGCGCCGCACGCCGCGCGGTAGGCCTCGGCCACGCCCCAGTGCCTCGCGAAGCCTGTGGCGCACAGCCCCGCCAGGCACTCGGCCGCCAGCGCCTCTCCGCCGCCCTCGAGCAGCGCGGCGCTGCCGCCGGCGCCGACGAGGCGCGCGGCGACCTCTGCGGCGCCGAGGCCCAGGAAGGCCCGCCCCCGCTCCGCCGCCTGGGCGCGCTCGGCGTCGCACGCAGGCCCCAAGGGCTGTGGGTACCAGACCGCCGCGCACCGCGGAGGCTGCCTCGCGAGCTGGAAGCGCCGCACGCTGCCGGCCCGCAAGGCCACGTAGCCGTCGGGCAGGCGCACCGCGTGCAGCAGGGCCCCCCCCGCCTCCAGCACTGCGTGGGTGCCGACGGGCACCTCGGCCAGGGCGCCGTCGGGCAGCAGCTCCACCGACACAGCCACTGCGCCCGCCATCGGCGCCTACGGGGCTCCAGGGCGGGGTGCCGCTGGCGCTCTGGCGGCTGTGGCGGCGGGCGGCCCGCCGCGCGGCGGAGGGCGGGGGGCGGCCCGCGCCCACATGGCAGAGCCTCTGGGCCTCGCTTGCCCCGCAGCCTCAAGCCAGAACGGACTGCCGAGGAGGGTGGGTGGTGGTCACCGCACAAGGGAAACAAGTCCCGAGCAGAGCAACACGCACCACGCCCACGACGACGCGACGCCGACGCCGACAACGACGACGACGCCGACGACGCCGCCGCCGACGACGACGGCGACGATGACGGAGACGAGGCTCGCAGACGATCCGCACCAAAGCACGGGTTTGGAAAAGGGCTACCCTGCAGGGTCGGTCGAACAGCGCACATCGTTGAGCGGTGTTGCAGCTTCACCTGAGCACAGCCCCCCCCTCAGAGCACCAGCCAGACAAGTCGCGTTTGCACCCTCATGCCTTGCTGGACTCCAGGTGCGTTTCGGCACTGCCGAGGCAGGGATGATACCGAGATCTGGCCTCGAGGCGCCATCCGATGGGCGGCCGGCCTGGCGGCTCGGCGGACACGGCAGGCACAGCCGCGGCCGAGCTGAGGAGGGCAGGGCGCCCCTGCAAGCTTGACGAGCACGGCTCGACCACCGCGATGGCCCTTGAGGAGAGGCCCTCGTTGAGTACAGCCGACACATGCGATAAGAAATCGTGCTATGAGAAGTGTAGAAGCACGTCTGTCGTCGAGCCTTCAGCTTCCTGAGGTGCCCCGGGGCATTCTGCAGGCCCCAAGAGCCATCGGGGGATAAGAAGATTCGGTCGGGCACCTGCTGGCAGGCCAGCTTCCTACTTTACGTGGCTACTGTAACCTCGCATCTGAGCCTCGCACTTCCCCCCGCCCCAGCCCTGGACATGACTACCCGCCGCCCCAGGACGGCTTCGAGCCCCCAACGCGCGGCGCCCTTCCTGACGAACAAGAGCAACCGCAAGCCCGTCGCGCGCACGCGCTCAGGCTCTGCCTGGTCTGAGAGCTTCGCGTACGGCGTGGAAGGGCACCGCGCCCAAGTACATGGAAATCGTCGGCGTCGAAGTCAACGTGTCCGTTGCCGAAAGCGCGGTTGGGGGCTCGGATCAGGGCGAGGAGGTGCACAACGAAACAACGAGTGCGCAGCGCCCGCATGTGGAGCCCAAAACCCGATCGATGTGGAAGCCCATGTGTGTGTGTGTTGCGTGCACGAGTCCCCTTGCACGCTGACACCCGCTGACTGGACTTGGAGGTCGCTTGGGGGGCAGCGTTGTTTCCAGGGCCTGATCCCAATACGCTCAGCCAGCGCGCTTGATCCGTCAATCACAATTCTTACGACACCCATTCGCGACAAGTTCGGACCTTAGGTTTACTCTTACCAACGATTGGGCTGCTTGGGTTTGCTCTTACCCTACGAGCATTGCCTCCTCCTCCGTCGCCCCAGAAACATAGATCGCGTTCGCTGCCCCTCAGCGAGCTGAAAGACTGGACCTCCTTCCTTCCTCCTCTTCCTCCCCCTCCAAGCAAAATATCCTCCTCCTCCTCCTCCTCCTCCTCCTCCTCCTCCTCCTCCTCCTCCTCCTCCTCCTCCTCCTCCCGCCTCCCTCCTCCTCCTCCTCCTCCTCCTCCTCTCCTCCTCCTTCCTCCTCCTCCTCCTCCTCCTCCTCCTCCTCCTCCTCCCCCTTCCTCCTCCCCCTTCCCCCTCCCCCTCCCCCTCGCCCTCCCCCCTCCTCCTCCTCCTCCTCCTCCTCCTCCTCCTCCTCCTCCCTCCTCCCTCCTCCTCCTCCTCCTCCTACCTCCTGCTCCTCCTGCTCCTCCTGCTCCTCCTGCTCCTCCTGCTCCTCTTCCTCCTCTCCTCCTGCTCCTCCTCCTCCTCCTCCTCCTCCTCGTCCCTCCTCCTCCTCCTCCTCTTCTCCTCCTCCTCCTCCTCTCCTCCTCCTCGTCCTCTTCGTCCTCTTCGTCCTCCTCCTCCTCCCCTCCTCCTTCTCCTCTCCTCCTCCTCCTCCTCCTCCTCCTCCTCCTCCTCCTCCTCCTCCTCCTCCTCCTCCTCCCTCCCTCCTCCCTCCCTCCCTCCCTCCCTCCCTCCCTCCCTCCCTCCCTCCTCCTCCTCCTCCCACCTCCCTCCTCCCTCATCCCCTCCTCCTCCCTCCTCCCTCTCCTCCTCCTCCTCTCCTCCCCTCCTCCTCCTCCTCCTCCTCCTCCTCCTCTTCTTCTTATTATTGTTAGTATTATTCTTCTTATTATTATTCTTCTTCGTATTATTATTATTATTATTATTATTATTATTATTATTATTATTATTATTATTATTATTATTATTATTATTATTAGTATTATTATTATTGTTATTCGTATTCTTATGCGTCGTGTTATTCTTAGTCTTCTTCTCATTATTAGTATTCTTATTCTTCTTCTTATTATTAGTATTATGCTTATTGTTATTATTATGCGTATTCTTCTTCTTATTATGATTCGTATTCTTCTTCTTCTTATTATTCTTCTTAGTATTAGTATTCTTCGTCTTATTATTATTAGTAATAGTATTATTATTAGTAGTATCATTATTATTAGTAATATCATTATTATTATTATTGTTATTAGTATTATTATTAGTAGTATTCTTCTTCTTATTCTTATTATTATTATTCTTAGTCGCCTTTTTATTATTCTTCTTATTCTTCTTAATATTATTATTATGATTATTCGTATTAGTATTCTTATTCTTATTATTCTAACTATTCTTATTCTTATTATTAGTATTATTCTTATTCGTCGCGTTATTATTATTATTCTTCGTCTTCTTCTTAGTATTATTATTAGTATTATTAGTGTCAGTATTAGTATTAGTATTAGTATTATCATTAGTATTAGTATTATCATTATTAGTATTATTATAGTGTTATGTTTATCATTATTTTTATTGGTATTATTATTCGTATTATTAGTATTAGTATTCTTCTTCGTATTATGCTTAATATTATTCTTATTCTTCTTGTAAAATTATTATTCTTCTTATGCGTATTATTATTATTAATAGTATTCGTCGCCTTCTTCTTCTTATTATTATTCTGAGTATTCTTAGTATTCGTCTTATGCTTCTTCTTATTCTTAGTATTAGTATTCTTCTTGTTATTCTCATTATTATTACTATTATTCCTCTTATTGTTCTTCTTCTTCGTATTATTATTCTTCTTCGTATTATTCTTCTTCTTCGTATTAGTAGTCTTTTTATTTCTTATTATTAGTCTTATTATTATTATTATTATTATTATTCTGTTTCTTCTTATCATTACTCTTCTTATTAGTATGAATCTTCTTATTCGTAATATTAGTATTCTTCTTATTATTCTTCTTCTTGTTATTATTATTCTTATTCTTCTTATTATCATTATTATGAGTACTAGTATTAGTATTGTTATTAGTATTCTTAGTATTATTATTACTAATAATAATAATATTCATAATAGTATTATTAGTAGTAGTATTAGTAGTACTATTATTATTAGCATTACTAATATTAGTATTGTTATTAGTATTATTATTATTAATATTATTAGTTTTATTATTTTATGGTTATGCTTATTAATATTCTGCTACGTATGATGATTAGTATGATTATTATTATTCTTCCTCTTACTATTATTATTAACATTATTATTAATGTTATTATGATTCGTCTTATTCTGCTGATTATTCTTAGTCTTCTTCTTATGTTTATCATTCGTAATATTCTTCTTATTATTCATATTATTCGTATTATGTTTCTTATTATTCCTCCTCCTCCTCCTCCTCCTCCTCCTCTTCCTCCTCCTCCTCTCTCCTCCTCCTCCTCCTCCTCCTCCTCCTCCCTCCTCCTCCTCCTCCTCCTCCTCCTCCTCCCCCTCTCCTCCTCCTCCTCCTCCTCCTCCTCCTCCTCCTTCTCCTCCTCCTCCTCCTCCTCCTCCTCCTCCTCCTCCTCCTCAGCCGTTCTGTGCTCCAGGGAGTATTGCAAGCACGTACTTCAGAGCGGCTCGTGCTTGCGAGCCAATCTGGGATCTCACGACCGCCGTTGTGCGATGGCACCGCCTGCCGGCGCCCGCGGCTCGGCGCCCGCTCGCAGCGCCAAGGGGCGCGTGGGCGGCGGCAGCCCGGTGTTGGGGCGCGGGACCACCCCGCCATCGCACACCGGGGGCGGCGGCGGCGGCGGCGGCGGCGGCGGCCCGCGGGGCGGCGGCGGCGGTGGAGGTTGGCAGCGGCCGGTCGGCGAGCTGCTACCCGGGCCTCGCTCCCCGCTGTGGGGGTGCCCGTGCGGGGAGGCGCACAACTGGGCGAACCGTACCGCCTGCCGTGTCTGCGGTGGGGCAGCGCCGGTGGCGGTCCGCCAGCGCGCGCTGCAGGCGGCCTCCGGGGCCCGTGCGCCTGGCGCCAAGGCCAAGCCGGCTGCCAAGCCGAAGGTCTCGGAGCCCAAGCGGAAGGACGACGGTGAGGACCTTGCTGTGTTGGCGGCCGATCTGGTTGCTGGACTGGCGGCCCGCGGCATCGCGCTCTCTGACGAGCAGCGCGCCGCCCTGTCCGAGGAGAAGCCCCCTCCTGAGCCCAAAAAGCCTGCTACGCACCATCAGCTGGTGCAGCGGGCGATGTGGAAAGAAAAGCGGGCCTCCGAGAAGTTCGAGCGCAGCCTCCAGAAACGCCGGGATGCTGAAGAGGCGCTGGAGGCGGCCAACGCGGCGCTGTCCGAGGCCGCGCGCGCCGAGGAGGAGGCCCAGTTGGCCCTTGCGACGGCCAAGGCTGACCTGGAGTCGGCGCGCGTGGCCGAGCAAGCGGGGCTGCCGCCAGGCAGCTTGGCCCCCGGCGCGGACGTCGCCAAGCTCGCCATCGCCCAGCAGGCCGTCAAAGCCTTGGAAGGGCTGGAGCTTCCCCCCGAGCTCCTGGGAGCCGCAGGGGGCCTGGTCGGCCTCCTCGGGGAGCAGCTCGATGCCGCGGCTGCTTCGGGTGCTGCCGACGCTGCTGCTCCTCCTGTTGCTGGCGACGACGGCACTGGCGACGACGACGTCGACGACGACCTCATGGGCGACGACATCGCTGGCCTCGCCGAGGCCGCGTCCAACCTCGACGCCGCCAAGCGCAAGCAGATGGAGGAACTGTTGGGGGCGC